CACCAGTCATTAGCATAGGTTCAGTAGCACAAAAACGTACATTTCTAAGTGCTCTTGGAGTCAAAACCAAGAATAAAAAATCTTGGATTATTGACTCTGGAGCTGATCACACGACTGGGGATGCTTCCTTATTCTACAAGTACGTCCCTTGTTCTGAAAATTACAAAGTGAGAATAGCGGATGGTTCTCTATCCACTGTAGCTAGTATTGGGTCAATTATCATCTCAAAGACCCTGGTTCTAAATTTGGTTTTGTTGGTTCCTAATCTGACCTGTAACTTGCTATCCATTAGCAAAATTACTAGAGATATGAATTGTGTTGCTAAATTCTTTCCCACTCATTGTGAATTTCAGGATTTGGATTCGGGAAGGACGATTGGCAATGCTAAGGAAAGTGAAGGGCTCTACCTCTTCAGGAGCGATAATCAACTTGAAAAACAATCTCTAAGTGTTCATTGTGTAGAGACTCAATCTGTTCAGAATTCCAATTCGGTTCCAGTTTCCAATAATGAAAGTGCAGTTATGTTGTGGCACTTTCGATTAGGTCACCCAAGTTTCATATACCTTGAAAAGTTGTTTCCTACTTTATTCATTAATAAAAATTCAAAGTCTTTCTAGTGTGAAATATGTCAATTGTCCAAACATACTCGAAATTCTTATTTGATTCAACCATATAAGGAGTCACATCCTTCTTCAGTTATACATAGCGATATTTGGGGACCTTCTCGAGTAAATAATATCACAGGAACCTGATGGTTTATCTCCTTTGTTGATGATCATTCTAGAATTACCTGGATATTTCTTATGAAAGAAAAATTTGAGGCAGGACCAATTTTTAAAAAATTTCACTCAATGATCCAAACACAATTCCAAGCCAAAGTTTAGATTTTCAGAATTGACAATGCCAAGGAATACTTTCATTATATTCTTGGGAATTACCTTCTTGATCATGGGATAGTTCATCAAAGTTCTTGTATAGACACCCCACAGCAACATGGGATAGCCGAAAGGAAAAACCGACACCTTTTAGAAGTTGCTCGTTCTATTATGTTCACAAGTCATGTCCCTAAACACTTCTGGGGGGAAGCTATCCTTACCGCTACCTATCTCATTAATCGGATGCCTTCAAGAGTCTTGAAATTCCAAACTCCATGCCAAGTACTCACACAAGTCTACCTACAATCCAGACTCATCTCATCCTTGCCACTAAAAGTCTTCGATTGCTCAACATTTGTCCACATACCACCTCATCAGAGGAGCAAAATAGATCCCAAAGCCTTAAAATGTCTATTCCTCGGATACTCCTCTCACCAAAAAGGTTACAAATGCTACTCTCCCACTACTTGGAAGTTCTATAACACCATGGATGTAACTTTCTTTGAGAATCAGCCTTTCTACTCCAAAACTCACATTTAGGGGGAGAATTCTATCGTGCTAGAAGAATATCAGTTTTGGCAAGATGTGGATATCTCCGTGCCTTCCATCACCTCAAGTTCACCTACTCAGAGTAACACCACCACACCTCCAATTGCGCCTATCCTACTTGAGTCAACATCCAAACCTGTTCATTCCGAACCCACTCCAAACAGTCCTTAGATTCTGACTCAACAAGAAAAATAAAAAATATTTAAAAGGATTGTTTACTCAAGAAAGCAGACAGCTCCAAAGGAGGTGGATCAACTCACTTTTCCTGAACAGAACCAAGCGTCCGCTTCAAATCCAATCACTTCTACTCAAGGTAACACAGATTCTTATCCTAGTAATGATCTTGATATTCCTATTGCTTAAAGGAAAGGTGTTAGGTCATGCACTCGGCACCCGATCTCAATTTTTGTGACATATGAGAGATTGTCTCCCTGTTACCGTGCTTTTACCTTGAATCTATCCAGTATAGACATTCCAAGCTACATACAAGAGGCTCTAAAGCACCCTAAATGGAAGGAAGTAGTTAGTGAAGAAATTCAGGTTCTTATGAAGAATGGTACTTGGGAACTCACAGAACTTCCCAAAGACAAACAACTTGTGGGATGCAAGTGGATATTCAATGTTAAGTACAAGGCAGATGGAAGTGTAGACCGATATAAGGCGGGACTTGTAGCCAAGGGATTCACTCAAATCTACGGGATTGATTATCAAGAAACATTTGCTCCGGTTGCTAAGTTAAACATAGTCCGGGTTCTTCTATCCTTGGCGGTCAAGGCCTCCTCATCAACTTGACGTCAAAAATGCATTCCTTAATGGAGACTTTGAAGATGAAGTCTATATGGAGATTCCTCCTGGTTTTGAGAACCCAAGCATTATCAACCGTGCTTGCAAACTTAGGAAATCTCTTTATGACCTAGCAATCACCAAGGGCCTGGTTTGAGAGATTTACTATAGTGGTCAAGAAGCATGGATACACTCAAGGCCAGTCAGATCACACCTTATTTATCAAGAAGTCGCCTGAAAGGAAAATTACCATCCTTATTGTATATGTGGATGATATTATCTTGACAGGTGATAATGAAGAAGAGGTAAGTTGGTTAAAGAGTACTCTTGCCAAAGAGTTTGAAATCAAGGATCTCGGTACATTGAGATATTTTCTTGGCGTGGAAGTGGCTCGATCCAGCCAAGGTATTTCTGTCTCTCAACGGAAGTATACGCTTGATTTGCTTAAAGAAACAGGTATGCTCGGTTGTAAGCCCTCAGCAACACCTATGGACCCTTCCAACAAACTTGACATGAAGGAGAGTTCTACTTTGGTTGACAAAGGGAGGTACCAAAGATTGGTGGGAAAACTCATTTACTTATCTCACACAAGACCGGATATCAATTTTCCTGTCAGTGTGGTTAGTCAGTTTATGAACAATCCAACTAATGAACACCTTGAAGCAGTTTACAGGATTCTCAGATATCTCAAAAAGACTCCAAGGAAAGGGCTGTTCTTCAAAAAGGGGATAGATAGTAGCATGAAAATTTTCTCAGATGCTGACTGGGCAGGATCCCTAACTGACCGAAGATCTACCTCAAGCTGTTGTTCCTATGTGTGGGGAAACCATGTTACATGGAGAAGCAAGAAGCAGTCTGTAGTTGCTCAAAGCAGTGCTGAGGCTGAATTCAGGGCTATGGCACATGGAATATGTGAAGGAATGTGGCTCACACGACTCCTAGAAGAACTGAAAATCTCTACTAAAAGTCCAATAAAGATGTTTTGTGACAACCAAGCTGCTATCAGTATTGCTAAAAATCCAGTTCACCATGACAGAACTAAACATGTTGAGATTGATCGGCACTTCATCAAAGAAAAGATTGATCAGGGAGTCATCAAGATGATCTATACTCCTTTAAGTCTTCAAACCGCAGACATCCTCACCAAGGCTCTTAATCGAGATCACTTTGAAATCCTTCTTTTCAAGTTGGGAATGATTGCTATATATTGTCTAGCTTGAGGGGGAGTGTGGAAATTCCAAGATAATTAGTTAGCAGATTTTGTTAGTTTCAAATAAAGAGATGAAGATAATTAGTATCCAAATCTCCAAAATTTCTGTTAGTTTCCTATTTTACTTCCTAGAATCAAGGAGTTGGTTAACATAATTGTGAAGGTTTCCTCTCCTATTCATTCTGGGAATTCACTTATTCCAAAGATAACAATAAGAAAAATATCAGAGAAGTTTTTTCTCCCATATATTTCTTTACTTAGTAACCATCACAAGCACTGTCGAACAATTGAGATATAGTAGCGAGAGGTAGCCGAGATAAGAGAACCAAGATCTAGCCTAGATGAACCCCAGAGAAATTATCGAGGAGAGAGCCGATTAGGGATCCGAGAGAGATTGCCCAAATGAGAACTAAGATCACTGAGGAGTGATCGCTGAGAAGAGATTGAGAGAGAGCCGAGATGGAATCAAGATCGGAGTCTGAATGAGACTAAAATAAAAAATAATTTTTTTTTTTTAACGAGAGATTGATTTCCGCTCTGATACCATGTTGAAAGAGAGTGAGAATATATGAAAATGTATATGTTATTAAGTTTGTAATACAATAATACAATGGTGTTTATATAGGAATATAGGAGAAGCTACGAGTGTAGGTGAGTGGAGAACATGTAAACCCTATACATGGTAATTCTATATATTGTAATGAGGGGTAGGTGACAACTCATACAATACTAATGGTACATGTCTAACAACTCATACAATACTAATGGTACACATGCGACAACTCATACAATACTGCACAACAAATACTAAAGTTACATAAGTTAGAAGGTGAAGCTATTTGAATATAACGAAGAATATATTATATTATATATGATATTACTATTATATCTTGTCATTTTAGTTATGTTTTTGTTCATATTACATACCATGACATGTGTTTGATGTCACTTTTTTTAGAAAAAGAGGATGGATACATTGCTATATGTTCATAATGTTACTTATAAATATATATATATTTATATATATATATATGTGTTCGTAATGTTGTTTCTAAGACTGCCATATGTTCGTTTTTATATAAGATAAGAGTGTGGGATATGTTATCAAGTGTCCGGAATGTGTTGAACAAGTGCCTGAGATGTGTCGGCTCAGTATCCAAGATGTGTCGACCAAGTGTCCAAAATAATAAAAATTATTTTTAAATTATGAACGTGGTCATGAAGTGTCGGATACGTGTCCAGGAGTGTACATGAAGTGTCGGTGTCCGACACGGACATGACACCACATAGAAGTGTCCGTGCTTCTTAGATTGCATCTGTGACCTGATGGAGTTGTCTCTAAATACAACTCCAAATTTCTGATACATCAGAAGGAAAATGGTCACAATTTATGTAATAGATTACTTATTTTCTGAAAATAATAATAATAGTTGATAATATTACTTGTGAGGCGTATTAAATGATTGTTTGTGCTTGCTTGTGCATTATTTATACTGGCACTGTAACATGACTTCCGTTGTGTAGCTTTAATGTGTCATTGTAAATGTATATAGAATAATTAAAAATAGTGGTTTGTGCAATAGGTACCAGGATGATTGGCTCAAGACGTCGGCGAGTTCTCTACAACTTTGGGAAAAAGCTCCTTTCGAGCCATATGCTCAGCAAAAACCAGTAAGATTCATAAAACCTGTCACAACAAACGTTTTTGTTACCCAATTTATTTTTGCACATTCCTCTGTATTAGCTCAAGAAATCCTGCAATCGGATTTTATTAATTTTTTCATTGCCCATGTAATTCTAAAACATTTTCTTATTCTTCATTAAATGTTGCAGATGACTTATTATGTTGTATGTCCAGACATTGATCCCCTTACTACTGCTGCTGCTGATTTTTTCCAACAACTTGGAACTGGTTAGTGTAATGATGAATCATATTCATTCTTTCTATCCATATGTTTGTTTTGGTGGTTGCACGTTTGTTAAAACTGGAATAACACTTTGGTCTTCTATTAATTCTTTTTAAGTGACACAATGGAACATGTCAGACTGGTTGTAGTATTTTGTGTAGGGGTTCAAACGTGGCTGAGAGAGGCTCCCTCTTGATAGGATATTTTCATTCTGTTTTTGAGGGAAAGGAAACTACAGAACTTTCTCCTTCACGAAAAAGCAGGATGAATGAAATAACGGTGTAACTTTTTTATTTTTTTTTATTTTTTTTGTAAGTGCTCATTTTATACTGAAAGTATGTCCTTTATCCTATTTCAATTGAGTGAAAACCAGGGAACACTTATCCCATATGGAAAGAGAGTGCTCGACATAAAATTTTTGGACTTTTGTATGAGTATAAATGTGTTGATTATGGAGAGCCTTTTGTACCTTCATAGAATATTCTTGCCCTCTCGGACAGAATGTTTTCTGGGATTCACTGTGAAACATCTCCTGGCTGTCCTTATTGTTTTGCACCTGTAACTCCACTTGCACTTCTAATGCACATCAGATATATGCTTTGATAGCATCATACTTGCTGATACAATATGCATTGCACCTTACTGGTTGCATGCACACTCATGTATGCTTTTCTTTGTGATGCGTGGTTTAACTTGTGTTAGCTTTCCTGCATGTTATATTACATGCAACTTGTGTTATGAACATCAGTTGTGTGGCCTCAAATATTCAGTCTTCCAGCTTAATTATAAAATCTGTATATATATATATATATATATATATATATATATATATATATATATATATCAATCGTATTTGTCTACACAGCATTTTACATATGAATTGTGCCCTAAATTCGATGATGTTCTTTCCCTTCCAGTTTATGAGACGTGCAAACTCGGTACTCATTCACCACAAAGTTTGGGAAACCAAATGGAGATAGGCTCTGGGAAATGTTCGTCTTCTGGTTTTGTTCTACTTGATTGCCCTCAATCAATGAAGATTGAAAGCAGTACTGCTTCTCTAGTGGGTTCAATCAGTGATTATTTTCTTTCTCTGTCCAATGGTTGGGATTTGACGAGCTTTCTTAAGTCTCTGTCAAAGGTTCTTAGAGCTTTAAAACTTGGTTCATGCTTGAACGCAAACCCAAAAGAGGGAAACAGCGGTCCTTGTACGGTAGGTTGCAAGTTTTTTTTACCCTCATTTTCTGTTGTAGAATAAAAGATGTGATTCATTACTAAATTGTTATCAATCCTATTATGCATCAAATTACATTGTTCTGAATACTTGATGTATATCATTATGGTATTGGTGTCTTTTATTTATTTATTTTTATTTCTGTTCTTACACTGTTTAAAAAGTGAGTTCCTTGACTTCAGTTGTTGTTGTACAGTTGAATTTCTTTTTATTTGTTAGCTTGAGTAATATGGGAGCACTTTCTGTTCAAAGAGCTTTTGTGATTTTAGTTCTAATGGCTAAAGTTCCTATTGTCTGTCATTCTACCTACAGTCGGACAGTTTCTATCTTATTTGATCTCGTTAAGTATACTGAAATTTTACTTTAATATATAAAATATTTTATTTTTTTCAGAATGATTGAATTTAACTTAGGTTCCAGATAGGTGTATAAATAAATGTGTTAGAAGCCATCAATTTGTTCTGTTTTCTTTTTCATCAGGCCAGCCACAAAAGATTCCAGATGCATATTGGTCTCTACATTCATTGAATCTGGAAAATAAATAAAAATTAAAATTCTTGGTGATTGCAGAAGATCAAGTTCAGGAAATGAAAAACAGAAAAAGAAAATAATAGAAATATGAAAAGCAAGAACAACGAATAAGGCTTCTTACTCAGTTTATAGGGCAGTTCTGCTGGCAAGTGGATTGTAGGAATGATAAAGGAGTTTTTAGGTGGGAGCTGGGAACTATAGTTTGGCTCTTGGAATCAGGTAATCTATGTGGCGAACAGCTTGTTTTCTTATCACATCTGTAATGAAAATTGCAAAACTGTCAAATCTGGCAATTAAATTTTCTGGTATTAAACTGATTTCACCATAATTTATACAGTATTATTATTTTGGATTAGTAATATATAATCTGATTATCATATCTATGAAACGTGGTTTCCTTTGCATAGTGGCTTTTGCATCATGCTTTAGAATTTTTACTAGTTTGGTAAAGCCAGACTGATATGATGTCTCCTAAATTGTTGGCTCTTGGAATCAGGTAATTTATGTGGTGTGCCCATTCCCTGAACCTATTGCAGTTCTACAGACTGTACTTGAGTCTTCGGTTGCTGTTGGATCAATCATACTTTCATCAGATAAAGAAAGGAGATCCATAATGCTGAATCAGGTTGGGAAGGCATTAAGTTGCTCAGCAGCTGTGGATGAAGCATCAATAGCAAATGTTTTAACACTTTCAGGGTTTAGTATTCCTAAATTAGTATTGCAGATCGTTACTGTTGATGCCATTTTTAGGGTTACAAGTCCGGCCCTCAGTGAGCTTGTCATTCTCAAGGAGATTGCTTTCACTGTTTACAATAAAGCCCGGAGATTTTCGCGAGGATCCTCCAATGATGTGGTCCAGTCATCGTCCATGTCAGGTAGATCTCATTCAGTTTTGATGCAAATGAGTTCTCCAATTCAAGGGATGTGGAAGGATTGTGTTGGTCCTCGAATTGCAGGACCTTCCGTTTCAAGAGAAGGTGAACTTGATACTAGCTTGAGGTCTGGTGCCTGGGATAATTCTTGGCAAACATCAAGGACAGGAGGATTAGGCTGTGATCCAAATGGAATTGGAGATTTTTTTCTTCAAGATGAAATCCATTATATGTTTGAGCCGCAGTTCATTCTTGCGGAACCTGGTTCTCTGGAGAATGGAGTTTTAGCACCAGAGTCTTCTAAGCCTTTGCATGATGATTCTAGTAGTGGAAGCTTTATGCAGAGTACAGTTTCATCAGGAAGCACAGATGCTGGACCAAGCTCTCAACTTGATGGATCAGAACCTGATAGCTTTATATCTGGCCTTTCGAAGACACTTCCAAGCCTTCATTGTTGCTATGGATGGACGGAGGATTGGCGTTGGCTAGTATGCATATGGACGGATTCTAGGGGAGAATTGCTTGACAGCCACATATTCCCCTTTGGTGGAATTAGTAGTAGGCAGGACACGAAGGGTCTGCAATCCCTTTTTGTCCAAATACTGCAGCAAGGCTGTCAGATACTTCAGACATGCTCTTCCTCTGATACAGGATTTGCCAGGCCTAGAGATTTTGTGATTACACGAATTGGATGTTTCTATGAGCTTGAGTGCCAGGGTATGTGATTTGCTTCTATCATCTTAAGTTCCAAACCTCGTACATTCAGTTGTTTTATATTTGAGAAATATACTTTTAATTCCTTGTATCATTTTGTTTGCGAGGTTTAGTTCTACTGTGTGATTTGCCAGTTGTGAGAGGCTGAGGGCTTTAATATAAAAGACTATTATGCATGCTAGTACCACCAAAATGGGTTGCTGGGAGTGGTAGAGCGTTTCACCAATTTATAAAATGTGATATGAGAGTTTAGTTTGCAATTTGGAAGAGACATAATTATCATGGACATTTGAGTAGTTTTCTATAAAACCTGTTGGTGCGCTTTTGGAAATTATGCAACCACTGGTAGTCATCAATTTTGTTTCCATTGGCAATAAACACACTCACATACCCACTCGCACACACTTTTTGCCCACACCCGGGTTCGGAACCCTCCCCTCTTTGAGGATGGGGAGGTTATACCATTAGGCTAGATGCCCTCTGGCAGTCATCATTGTTTTGGTCAATAACTTGGAAACCATTTTTAATGAGGCAATGGTTTGTATTTTATGTATATCATTTAACCCCTTGTCAATTTGTCATTGATGGTGCATTTTCTGAACTTTGAATATGATTGTAAACAGAATGGCAAAAAGCACTCTATTCAGTTGGGGGTTCTGAGGTGAGAAAGTGGCCACTGCAACTACGGCGCTCTTTACCCGATGGGATTCCTACAAGCAGTAATGGGACTTCCTTGCAACAACAGGAGATGAGTTTAATTCAAGAGAGAACCCTTCCTTCCTCACCTAGTCCTTTGTATAGCCCGCACTCAAAAACTTCTGGATATATGAAAGGTGTTTTGGGACATCCTTCTGCAAGGAAGCAACTAATGGGTGGACATGCCGCAGTAGACCAGACAAGGGGGTTGCTTCAGTTGGTGCAAAGCATCAGTTTTGTTTCAATTTCAGTTGATCATTCCCTACATCTAGTATTTCAGGCAGATTCAACATCACCTGGTAGCTATCTATTCCCGTTTTACATCATTGTGCATCATCTTTGTAGCATTAATTGCTATGTATTCCTGTTTTACGTCATTGTGCATCATCTGTGTTGCATTAATTGAAGTGTAAATCCACTACAAGTTTCATCATCTGTTTTAGTTGCATCTCTTCTCGAACATTTTGCGTACGAATGCCCAGAAATGGCTGAACTTCCTCTGTCATAGTTAGTCCCATTTCTTCTCACTCCCCTTTTGAGCACCTTCAATGAAACCCATCTTGTCAAAAAAAAAAAAAAAAAAAAAAGGTGTAAGCTAAATCTTAGAGAGAGATGGGAATATATAATGTTCTCAAGAACGTACAAGGAAATCAACAATCTTTGGAAAGCGGTAATTATGCCCCTAATTAAGGAATAACTAATCATGTCCCTAATTAAGGAATAGTTGACTATGAGTTGATTTCACGACACATATATATGTCCAGTTGTAGTATTAACAATGAGCATTTTCAGGGGGAACTCAAGGTGGTGGCTTTGTGGGCCCGTCAGGTTATCTCGAAGGGTTTACTCCTGTAAAGTCCCTTGGTTCTGCATCTGCATCCTATTTACTAATACCGTCACCCAGCATGCGCTTCCTCCCTCCAACACCTCTGCAGCTCCCCACATGCCTCACTGCTGAATCGCCGCCTCTGGCCCATCTCCTACACAGTAAAGGCTCAGCGATTCCCCTTTCCACTGGTTTTGTGGTTTCAAAGGCTGTATCTTCTATGAGGAAAGACTCAAGAAGCAGTTCAAAAGAAGAATGGCCTTCTGTTCTCTCTGTCAGTCTTGTGGATTACTATGGAGGTAATAACACGGTCCAAGAAAAAATGATTAGATCAATTGTCAAGCAGGGAGGAAGAGGATTAAGTTCAGAAGCTAGAGATTTTGAAATTGAGACCCATTTGATTCTTGAGTGCGTTGCAGCAGAACTTCATGCTCTGTCATGGATGACTGTAAGCCCAGCATATTTGGAAAGGCGAACTGCACTGCCTTTTCACTGTGACATGGTTTTGAGACTCAGAAGGCTCCTCCATTTTGCTGATAAAGAACTCTCACGGCAACCGGAAAAGTGAAGGTATAGGTTAAATAAATCTCACAAAAGTTGTATGCTCCATAGGGAAATACAAGGAGCACCCATTATAGAGGCTCTGCTGTATGCGGTGTTCCCTGTGTGCTCATGTGTAAAATTAATTGTAACATTTGATTTGCATATATCATTTAAGCCTGCTGATTGGTAGCACCCTTTTTTCGAGTTCCTGGGGAACTGAACAGTTCAAGAAAGAAATATATAGATCTAGGGGTGGGTTTAGTAATAGGAAAGTAGATTTCACAGTGTATATGGACGTAAAAAGTCCATCTTTGCTGAAAATCAGCATAATTGGCTGGTCTGATCAGTGTGGGATGTGCTCTCATTGTAGAGTGAAAGTACACCCGAGGAAAACAGATGTAAATGTGTTAGTTGGTCGGTTGGTTGATTTTGTTTTATCAGGGAATGACGCATACAGAAATGAGTATTTATGTATTTTTCTTCTTAAAGGTTAACAAAAATTCTTAACTGAACAATTTTGGTTGAATAATTATATTTTTCTCGGTTAAATAATTATATTTTTCTTGGTTACTAGGATAAATGATACATCTTCAAAATTCGGGAGGGCAGCGTTGTGCGAGTGGATTGTGATATTTATAACAAGACGTCATGTGGTGGGGTCCATCCCCTCGCCTCACATATTTCCTATTGCATCTTGGGGAGGATGTATCATTGCTCAAAGAGTGCTGGACAAGTAGACCCAAGGCTTACATTCAGTAAAGTCAATTAGGAACACATTAATAGTTCTGTTGGTACTATTGATATAATGATGAGCTTCAAATGCAGGAATAGGCAGCTGTGGAGTGCCATTCTATATGCTAATCTCACTATCCCTGAGTAGTCTGTTTAATTGTGTCTTCATTTGGTTGGAGGAAAAAGATTGTTGGGACAAATATTATCCAAATTAATTTAGTGTGAGACATAACCAGATGGATTGGATTGCTCCCGACAGATACCCTAGAAAAAGAGAAAATGAACCGTTTAGGTAAAAATCTATAAAGACATGCACAAACACACACACACACATATATATATATTCATAAAATAAGCAGTAAAATACATGGAAGAATAATTACAGATGAACGGAGGACATACCCTCAGAATAAGGAAATCAGGTTATAAGCCCATGTCCAATACATAAAAAACACCAAATTAAAACTGCTCAGTGTATCAAGTTTTGTAGTGCAACATTAGTGACATCAATAACTTCAAATAAAATGTGTCTAGCCACCTCTTGTGGAGTTCTTGAAGTTGTACCATATGAAGTGTTACCATTTTTCTCCTGCCATATACCCCTCAAGGCAGCCACAAACAGGCATTTGAGACGCTTGTTAGAATGTTGTGTGAACCACCCCACCAGGTCCCTAAAATTGAAAATGTTAGAGAACTGAACTTCCCAACCCAGAACCTCTCCCAACCAACCCCACAGGGCCTAGCAAACTGGCAGGTAACAAATATATGATCCCTAAAATCACAATCTGTGTGACAATTAGTACACCTAGCAGCCAATTGGATCCTTCTCTTCTACAAGTTAACCATGGTAGGAGGCCTGTCTTGAAATACAATAACCCCATGTACAGGCCACCTAGGTCTAGCCTTTCCCCAGCACACACAATGCCAGTCCATTTCTTCAACAGGCCCTTTGCGGCTAGACCAAGCCTTCTTGAAAGAAAAGTTACCCCCATCCTATAAGAACCTGTCTTCTCTAACATGCACAAGTATATCAGTAACATATTGTTTGAGAGGTTCAAAGATTTCATCCTGCATCAACTCAACATTCCAACTCCCATTAGTTACAGGACTTCCGAGAGCTGAATCCCAAGACAACCCCAATCTTTGAACCAATCTATGGCCAAATTTCTGAGCCATTGTAAGTCCATCATACCAAGGATCAGTTAAAGCTTTGATGATCTCCCCAGTTCCAACAGAGAAGCTGACATGTTGCTGCATTAGCTCTCTAATATTAACCATAGACTTCCAAATAACTGAATGAGAAGTCCTAGGTCCCACATTCCAATAAGATGCATGACTTAAGTACCTGTTTTTAAACCAGGAGACCCACAACCTGTCTTTGCTGAGCAGAAAGTCTCTGGCCAAAACACATTGAGATGCAGTGCAGGTCCCTCAATTTCCTTATACCAAGCCCACCTTCAGCTTTTGTTCTAGTGATTACATCCCAACTCAAGAGGTGTAACTTCTTAGCATTATCTGCACTTCCCCAAAGAAAATTCCTACACTGTTTTTGAATCTGGTTTAGGACAGCAATAGGTATGTTGAAGACACTACACCAACACCAGCAAATAGGAGTGATCACAGTTCTAATCAATTCAGCTTTCCCTGCAATTGAAAGAAGGTTTGTACTCCAATTAAAAAGTCTTTTAGTAACCTTATCAATGAGAACAGAACAATGAGACCTCTTCAATCCTGTTGAACAGAGAGGAATCCCCAAATAGGAAAGCATAAACAGAGCTTAAAAGCACACTTTTGAAAAATAGGAAAGTATAAACAGAAAATGGCCATTTCAAACACATAAAAGAGAAGAGGCACCAGGAACCATATAATCCCTTCAATCCAAAACTTGCTTCCCTTTCCTCCCAAAGTAAAGAAAATATAAGAGGGGCTAGAAATTGTTCTCAACTTAGGTTATCTTTCTATTCAAGAGTGCACGTATATATAGAGTATTAAAATCAGTAAATTTGTTGCAAAAAAGCATTCTACATATCTTGGATGCTACAAAAAAATATTCTACATATCTCTGATATTTCAACTTATCCATTCTGCATATCTCTGATATTTCAACGTATCGATATTACTAGTTCTAGATATCTCTAGATATTAACATCATATCTAAAGAATATCTATATATTAACAACATATCATGGTTTACTCCCCATCAAACTTGACGTGGGGTTAACCCGAAGTCCAAGTTTGGCCATCAAAGAGTGCTCGAGAGAGAGGAAGATATCAGCGAGTTGTCGTGAGGAGGGAACAATTCTCCTTATAAGGGTGCCAAGAGCAACTTTCTCACGAATTATGTGATAATCAATGGCGATGTGTTTTGTTCTGGAACACTGGATTTACCAACATGTGAATAGCGGAGAGAGAATCACATAAAGAGAATTTTTGGCGCTTGTCTTGATAAATACCAATGTCTCGAAGAATACATAAAATTCATGTTAATTTGGCCGTCATCGATGCCATAGCTCTTATTCAGCTTCAGCATTTGATCTAGAAATAGTATGCTGCTTTTTAGCACTCCAAAAGATACAACTAGAACTTAAAAATGTGCAGTAGTCACCGGTGGATTGTCTCCTAGTTGGGCAGCCAGCCCAATCGGCATCAGAAAATTCATATAAGTCTAAACTGCTGCTTTTAAGCATGCGAAGACCCATGGAAATGGTGCCGTGTACATATTTGAGAAATCTTTTGCCATTTGGATATGGGCATTTGTAGGAGCATTCGTCTGTTGATAAACAATATTAACCGCATAACATCCGTCAGGCCGATGAGGGTTAAATACTGAAGAGTGCCGACAATCTTTCGGTCTTTTGTGGCATCAGGGTAAGGGGCATAACCATTGGCAATAATGGCTTGTTTGGATGCCATCGGGGTAGTAATGGGTTTACAGTAAGCCATGTGTGTACTTTGAAGTAAATTGGTTATATATTTAGACTGAGATAGAAAAATCCCACCATCAAATGACAGAAATTGCATACCCAAAAAATAGTTCAGTTCACCAAGATCTTTTATGGAGAACTCAACACCCAATTGTGTGATGAATTCATCCAATAAATTGGATGTGCTTCCCGTGAGAATGATATAAAAAATATAAACTAATAAGATCATGAGATTATAACCGTTGTTAAACACAAAAAGAGATGAATCAGTTGGGCTGCATCGAAAACCATAATTAATAATAAAAAGCTAAACTGATCAAACCAAGCCCGTGGAGCTTGTTTCAAGTCATATAAGGCATGGTGTAATTGACAAACGTGGTGTGGCATATAAATCTCTTCAAAACCCGGTGGTTGTTTCATAAAGATTGTGTGACGTCCCGAATTTTTTTTCGGATTTTTTGGATTTTGGATTTTGGATTTTTATTTTTTTTGACACTCGTTTTGCATGTTGGGCGCCGATTAGCATGGCGTGTGGGCCCCAAGAGTTATTTAGAGCATTTCTTTGAGTTTAGAACTCTTAAAAATGCATTCTGACCCATTTCAGACATTTTCGAGTTTTGGACCGGGGGGATCTCATGTGGGTCTGGGGTGACTTAAGTGCACAGGATGGTGAGGGCCTAAGTGAAAGATCATTGGAGGGCACTATTATTTTATTTTTAATGGATTGTTGCCTTGGGCTAATTTCGTGGAAGTTGCTTGGAGGAAGGGAGTAATTAGTTTTAAGCATTTGGGTTAAGTGATGTATTTAGGGGAAAGATGAGAGGGAGCTATATATATATGAGGGGTTTGGCAAACTAACCCCACCATTCATTATCTTCTTCCCCTTATATTCTCTCTCTATATCTATATGTATGTCACCTCCATGTATAAGCCCTGAAAAGCTTTATTTTGAGGGTCTTAACCTTTGACTTTGAATGCACCCAAGGAGAGAAAGTTCTTCTCCTTCTTCTCCTCCACACAACCATAGTGAGAGATTAGAGATTTGACCACATTGGAGTTTTCAAAATCCCTAGAGCTTGTATTTGGGGTGGTAGCTAGTTAGAGAAGTTGTAGAGCATCTCTTGATCTACAGGGTGATGTGATTTTGGAGGCTATTCAAGCATTCTTGAGATTTCGGCCAAGGCAAGTTGGTGGCTTTTGGGGTAGCTCCAAGATGAAATGTTGTTCCCCTTCTCTTCCTCTTCATTTTGATGGTTCAAGCTTTTGATTTGGCGGAGTTTCAAGCTTGGAGCAAGCTAGGACCTTGCATATTTGAGGTAGGGGGATACTGTGTAGTCCTAGATGGTTGTAATCAACTTCTTGTTTTGCCCTTAAAAGCATGCTTATTGTGGTGGAATTTGAGTAATTCATGTTTGAGGGTTTCAAGCATGATCTTCAATTGCTTAATTATTGCTTGAATTGAAATCAATGCCATTTTATGGGTTGTAAAGCATGATCATTATGTTGCTAAGTGTGCCAATTTGGAAGATTGTATTAACAATATGTATGATCGTGTATTACATGCGGTTTAATTGAGGTAAATTCTAAGTATTATGAGTTAAACCATGTCTACCATGCTTATTATATGACAACTTCCTTACATGAGACTATCTCTTGCATTGAAGTTAAATGCTATGTGGTTTAGTTGCCAATATGAACTTCTTGATGATTTATGAGCAAAAACATGCCTATTATTCTAATTGTAATTATGTGTTGATGATGGAATGTATGGTTGTCCTAAATTTGTTGTAATGCATCTTCATGACATTACCATGGCATGGTGTTGGTGTGGATAGAGTGGTGTGTCGAAAGTCATGGGTGGAAACAAGTTTTTGCAAAGTTTGTAGAGTAAAATGGTTTTTTTTTTTCTTTTTTTTTTTTTTTTTTTTTTTTTTTTTCCTTAAAACCAGTATTAGGGAGGTATCCCTTTAACGGCGGTACTAATTGGCTATCAAGACAGAAGGAGGTACCCGAAGTCCGGCTATTTAGTACACTTTTTGTGTGAGTGCGTATGAGTCGGTTGTGTGTGTGGTGTAGACACATAATGCATGACATTCATTTGATATTTGGATCTTAGGTCTGTGTTTGATGGTTGATTGGTGATTAAAGTCCCGACCCCTATCCATCTTACTATGCTTTTACGTAGTTGTTTCTATGCTTACTCGACTTGAGGAAACACCATTTAGGCATCCTCTACTGAGTAGTGGTGCTCACCCCTTATCTTAAACATTTCAGGACTCAAAAGGAATAAAGTGGATGATACATCTTCACAAT